TGCTCCATGCTCTGTTACTGTACTGAGTGTGACTGAGAGGCTGGTGGTGTTGCGGTGGCGTGCTCCATGCTCTGTTACTGTACTGAGTGTGACTGAGAGGCTGGTGGTGTTGGAGTAACGTGCTCCATGCTCTGTTACTGTACTGAGTGTGACTGAGAGGCTGGTGGTGTTGGAGTAACGTGCTCCATGCTCTGTTACTGTACTGAGTGTGACTTAGAAGCTGGTCATGTTGCGGTAGTGTGCTCCATGCTCCGTTACTGTACTGAGTGTGACTTAGAAGCTGGTCATGTTGCGGTAGTGTGCTCCATGCTCCGTTACTGTACTGAATGTGACTTAAGCTGGTCATGTTGCGGTAACTTGCTCCATGCTCTGTTACTGTACTGAGTGAAGGATAAGTCAGGCACTGCAATGCCATGCACCAGTAATGTGAGTATTAAATGTGTTCTCCTTACCAGTCATTTCAATTCTCTTTCCCAGAATGACACACGTTCTGTCATCCACCTGAACACCTTTGGGTTTTATGCCAATGGGACATTGGATGTCCACCTCCAGGAGCTGACTTTGTCCCCGGAGAAGTCAGCTGGCCTGGATGATTACAAGGTCAGCCTGATTTGTGCTTTTATTAGTCCAAGTTAATCTGGAAATTCATCATTTATGTTTTAGTTATGCACCTCTCTTAAGCTTACATTAGTATGGTTCCTGTAGGTTTGGATGTACTGATCCTGTGGTTGCATGTTGAACTCTTTCATTGTAAAGTGTTGTTGTAGTTCTGTTCTCAGGTGTTGCTTATTGGTGGGATTATGTGTGTTCTTCTGTCCAGGTGGGCTTTAGCCTTGTCAGATCACCAGTAAATGGAGTGCTCTCATACACAGTGAGTAGATTCACGGCTGTCTGATTCCTGACTGATTTGAAACTTGACTACTGCAATTGTTGTTAATAGTAAGAGTGATAAGCATATTTGCAGTCATTGCTTATATCAACTGTAATGGACATGAGAAAAAAATGGGTTAAAGTACATATAGTGAAGAAACAGACTGGCGGGAATGATACTGTGTGTGTGACTGTGATTTCCACAGGGCGAAGACACCAAAGTGTGCCAGGAGTTTAACAGTAACAGTGTGGAGCCACGCCTCCTCTTCCTCATTGACATTTCCAACCTGCGGTGAGCTGCTAGCTCTTCACCAGGCTGAGGTTTGGAAAGCGCTTCTGCAGTCTCTCAGTGAGAACTGAGAGTTTCAGGAGCATCTACCCTCATACCTCCAGATTACTTAATAATTTAACATTTACACTTTACTCATGCAAAACCCACACTGTAAAACCCGATAAGTT